TGTGTTTTCTCAAATATATTGGTTCAGCTGCTATTCATTTTCCAGTCTCAATTCAAGGTGCAGGTTATCAGCTAGAAAGCCCTGAACAGTTTGGGACCTGCCTACCTTTGTGATCGCATTTTCTCCTATGAACCTATGCAATCTTGTTGATCTTCGATGGAGGCCATCCTCTCGCTTCCACCTCTGCCACTGACGTGGCTCGTGTGGATGGGGGAGGGCCTTCTCTGTGGTTGCCTCCCGGCTCTGGAACTCGTTCTCCAGGGAGGTTAGACAGGCACCCACCCTGGCAGCCTTTAGAAAAAGTCTAAAAACCTATCTTTTCTGGTGTGCTTTTGGAGACTGAACAATCAGTCTCCATGCCACGTTCCGTCCCAGGTCCAACTTGTCTCTCTGAAGCTATTCATCTTATCCCTCAGTTGAAGATTAACTCTACTGCTATTCCGTCTGAGCCTCCTACAAATCATAGCACTTTCTACTTATCTCATCCATGGGTTTCATCAAATTCTATCCATTTTTATCCATGAGCCTTGCTTTCCTTATCAAAAACTATTACAATTTTATCATTTGTTTTTTATTATATTTATATTTTCATTTAATTACTATGTTTTATTAAGTATTTTATTTGATGTTATTCTTTTGTTTATATGTACGTTTGTTTTATTGTAACTTGTTTGGACCTGGCCTCATGTTAGTCACCCTGAGTCCCTCCAGGGAGATGATGGCGGGGTATAAATAAAGATGATGATGATGATGATGATGATGATGATGATGATGATTATTATTATTAGAGGAGCTACTTGCCTTCTCCCAGTAGACTCTAATCAAGGAAAAGCTTTATGAGAACTACCACTCCTCTTGGCATTCCCCCTAGCAACAGCAAGGGTATCCCTCTGGAAATCCTAACTGAATGGCCTCCCATGAGGGTCTTCCTCCAGGGGCAAACCAAGCATGGGCCACTTGGAAGTCCCTGAACAGACTCAAAGCGGAGTGGGTAGATCAAAAGACAACCTTGCAAAATGGCACTACCTAAAAGAATCTCCCACCTTGTGTGACTGTGGAGCAGAACAGACAACTCTGCATCTGTATGCTTGTTCACAATGCCCTGCCTCATGAACAGAGGAAGAATTGTTGGAGGCTACAGACAGTGCCATTGCTGTTGCCCATTTTTGGTCAAAGATATTTAGCTGCCTGTGCTCCTTCTTTTTTATCAGTTTTATACTAATTTATACAATGCTTTTGATATGAAATAAATTATTATTATTATTATTATTATTATTATTATTATTCAATAGGGCTGGGCAACCACGGAAAAATTTGTTTCTAAACTCGATTCGTTTTTTGGGGATTTTTGCGTTTCGATATTTAAAAGAATTCGGAAATTTTTCTTTAAAAAAGTTCAATATTTATGAAATTTCGTAAAATTACGAAACAATACGAAACGAATACGAAACGAATACGAATCGATTCGTTAATGGTGGACGCGACCGCGCAATACGCTAAAAAACCTCCATATGGGACGGGGGAACTTTTGAAGCTTCCCTCTCCCTCTGTTGTTGACTGTTGGTGTGATATTTATAATTTTTTTCACTGATTAAACAAACAACAGCTATAAAACTTGCCCCAGACATGCGGAAATAATAACGAAACGATTTCGAAACCATTTCGAAACAAATACGAAACGAATACGAAGCAATTACAAAATGAATTGAAAAATTCATTTCGTTTTTTAGATGCTCCTGAATGGTTCAATATCGCTTCGTTATTAAAAAAAAAAACGAATTTTTAACGAATTACGAAATTACGAAACGAAACCGCCCAGCCCTATTATTCACTTCTGATACAATAAATAAATAATAAATAAGTGCCCTGGCTCCATGCTATGGCATCCGGGGAGCTATAGTTTTACAAAGTCTTTTACCCTCCTCTGCCAGAGTGTTGGTGCCCCACCAAACTACAGCTCCCAGCCTCCCATACCATTGAGCCATGGAAGTGGGTGTCAAGCTGGATTATTTCTGCAGTAAAGTTATAAAACAAACACCCAAGGCAGTGTGTAGGACAAGAAACTCCAGGGCACATTGGTGCACAAATTATTTGAAGCCATACATGGGAAATCGAAATAAATTTATTAATTTATTTACAACATTTATATGCCGTCCTTCTCACCCCAAAGGGGACTCAGAGCGGCTTACAAGATATATATATATATATATTAGGGCTGGGCGGTTTCGTTTCGTTAATTCGTAATTCGTTAATAATTCGTTAATTTTTTCAATTACAAAACGATAAGAACCATTCTGGAGCAATTATTAAAAACGAATTTTCAAAAACGTTTTGTAAATGCTTCGTATTTCGATATTGTATTCGTTTCGTTATTGTTTTGAGGTCGTTTCGTTATTATTTCCGCATGTCTGGGCCAGTTTTATGGTTTAATTAGTGAAAAAAAATTTATAATATCACACCAACAGTCAACAACAGAGGGAGAGGGAAGCTTCAGAAGGTTTTGGAGGTTTTTTAGCGTATTTCGCGGTCGCGCCCGCCATTAACGAATCGATTCGTTATTGTTTCGGAAATCGATTCGTTAATTTTTTACCATTTACGAAATGTCGTAAATATCAAACTTTTTAAAAGGAAAATTTTGTAATTATTTTAAATATCGAAACAAAAAAAACCCCCAAATACAAATCGATTTTAGAAACAAATTTTTCCGTTGTTACCCAGGCCTAATATATATATATATATATATATATATATATATATATATATATAATTATTATTAGCATAGTACAATATCAGTATTATATATTACTATATTGTACTATATCATTCTATTGTAACATTATTAGTAATATTACCTGTAATATAAAATATTTAACTATAATATCATATTATTATTATTAGTAGTAGTAGTATATTGTATTACATTATAATATTATAAATATTTTATGTATATGCAATTGTTGTTGTTCATTCGTTCAGTCATTTCCGACTCTTCGTGACCTCATGGACCAGCCCACACCAGAGCTCACTGTCGGACATGGCCACCCCCAGCTCCTTCAAGGTCAAGCCAGCCACTTCAAGGATACCGTCCATCCATCTTGCCCTTGGTCGGCCGCTCTTCCCTTTTCCTTCCATTTTCCCCAGCATCATTGTCTTCTCTAAGCTTTCCTTTCTTCTCATGATATGGCCAAAGTACTTCATCTTTGCCTCTACTATCCTTCCCTCCAATGAGCAGTTGGGCTTTATTTCCTGAAGTATGGACTGGTTGGATCTTCTTGCAGTCCAAGGCACTCTCAGAACCTTCCTCCAACACCACAGTTCAAATGCATCTATCTTCTTTCACTCAGTCTTCCCTATGGTCCAGCTCTCACATCTGTTGGTGACTATGGGGAATACCATTGCTTTTACTATGCAGATCTTGGTTGCCAGTGTGATGTCTCTTCACTATCTTATCGAGACTGGACATTGCTCTCCTCCCAAGAAGTGTCTTCTGATTTCCTGGCTTCAGTCTGCATCTGCAGTAATCTCTGCGCCTAGAAATACAAAGTCTGTCACTGCCTCCATGTTTTCTCCCTCTATTTCCAAGTTGTCAATCATTCTTGTTGCCATAATCTTGGGTTGTTTTTTTTTAATGTTTCGCTGCAACCCAGCTTTTGCACTTTCTTTTTTTACATTGATTAGAAGGCTCCTCAGCTCCTCCTCACTTTTGACCATCAAAGTGGTGTCATCTGCACATCTAAGGTTGTCAATGTTTCTTCCAGCAATTTTCACCCCAGCCTTGCATTCCTCAAGCCCCGCACATTGCATGATGTGTTCTGCATACAAGTTGAATAGGTTGGGGGAGAGTATACAACTCTGCCGTACGCCTTTCCCAATCTTGAACCAGTTTGTTGTTCCATAGTCAGTTCTTACTGTTGCTACTTGGTCCTTGTACAGATTCCTCAGGAGACAGACAAGGATTTGGTACACCCATACCATCAAGAACTTGCCACAATTTATTATTATCCACACAGTCAAAGGCTTTAGAATCTATATAAATAAAAATGTAACGTTTGTTTGTGGGATTAACATAACTCAAAAACCACTGGATGAATTGACACCAGATTTGGACACAAGACACCTAACAACCCAATTTATGTCCTTCACTAAAAAAAAAATATTTTGTCATTTGGGAGTTGTAGTTGCTGGGATTTATAGTTCACCTACAATCAAAGAGCATTCCGAACCTCACAAATGATGGAATTGAACCAAACTTGGCACACACTTCTCCCATGACCAACAGAAAATACTGGAAGGGTTTGGTGGGCAGTGTCCTTTGGTTTTGGAGTTGTAGTCTACCTACATCCAGAGATCACTGTGGACTCAAACAATGATGGATCTGGACCAAACTCTACACGAATACTCAATATGCCCAAATGTGAACACTGGTGCAGTTTGGGGAAAATAGAATCTTGACATTTGGGAGTTGTAGTTGCTGGGATTTATAGTTCACCTACAATCACAGAGCATTCTGAACCCCAACAACGATAGAATTGGGCCAAAACTCCCACACAGAACCCCCATGTGGGCCACAGCAATGCGAGGCAGGGGATGGCTAGTAGCCAATAAAACAGAAATAGATGTTTTTCTGAAACTCCTTGCCTATCTATTATATTAAATGCAACCGTTCTGTATGGGGCGGATGAAGGGGGAAAAGAGGGGTTCTGGTGTGCTTGAGTGGTGGGTGCTTGAGTTGTGGCCAGACCCGCTCCCTTTCCCTTTGCCCTGGAGCCCAAAGAGCAGCAGCTGCCTCCCGGCGCCTCCCCGCGAGTCACGACTCCAGCCCCGCGAGCTCAGCCGCCTTCTCCCTCGGAACTGTCAAGTCAACCGAGCCTGGGCGTGCAGTGGGCGGGGCCAGGGGCAAAGGGGAGGGGCCTCTCCTCCAAAGAGGAGGGGTCAGGTCGTGATTGGGCCCCTCCTCGGGGAGGCGTGGCCTCCCCCGCTCCTCGAGCCCCGTCCCCATTGGCGGGGAGTTGTGTCAGTGAAGCTGAGAGAGGTGGGGAGGAGAAAACAACCACCAGCCCTCGGCAGCACTTCCCTCGGCGCCTTTTGGAGTGAGCGAGAGGCGAGCAGAGCAGAGGAAGAAGCTAACGCCGGAGGGCGAGGAGGAGGAAAGAGGAGAAGGAGAAGAAGAGGCGGCGGCGGCGGCGGCTGTGGGAGGCGAGGCCTGGTGAGTGGGAAATGGGGGCGCCGGCCTTGTCCCACCTGTCGCCTTCCCCCTCAGCCCATCCCATAATAACCGCCCCCCCTTTTCAAATCCCACCCACCCACGCCTGCCCGCCGCCCACTCCTCACTCCCCACTCCCTCACTCCCCAGCCTTCCCTTTCCCCTCATCCATGTGTGTGCTAAGGGTGGGTGCAAATATTATCACTATCATCATCCCTTTTCAGGTATTTTTGTATTTCCTGGGTGGATTTCTAGTTCTGTCTTGTATCCACATTATTCTTATTATCATCATCATTATCATCTCCATTTCAGGTATTTTTGTATTTTCTGGGTGGATTTCTAGTTCTGTCTGCATCCACATTATTGTTATCATCACCCTTTCCCTCTCCATTTAAGGTATTTTTGTATTTTCTGGGTGTCTGCATCCATAATAGCAGACCCTCTTCTTCCACCATTCAACTCCTGTATCTCTTCATCATGGTGGTCTATGGGAACCAGTCACTTCTTGTCTCTGTGCCCCAGGTTTGCCCTGGTTTCAAGATCAAGGTGACAAGGGCTTCCCAGGGATGCCTCCCTTCCTCCTCACTCCCTCCCCCCCCCCCCAGTCGCCCTTTTCTCCCATCATTCAACTCCTGTGCTTCTTCATCATGGTGGTGAATGGTACCCAAGGGGTCCACTTGACTCCACATCCCCTTTTTCTTTGCCCTGGTTTTGAGATCAAGGTGAGAGGAGATCACCCCAGGAACCCCCTTCATCCTTCTTGTGTGCTTGTGGTGTGTCATATATCATTATCTTCCCTCGGATTTCTCTCTCTCTCCCCCCCCCCCACCTTTTCCCTTAAAAAAGCCCCACATGTTCCCTTTTTCCTCAGCAACCAGTGAGTAATGTTCTGTATGAAATGCTTGCTGCCGCAGACTCCTTATTCTGGCTCAGCTCTCGCCTCCTTTCTGCCTGTGGTATCTATGGAAAATGTGGCAGGGATGGTTTCCGATGCCATGCTTCATCATCTCGCTCACTTCAGATGCTTAAAATATACAGTTCAGTCATTGAATTCTTAATGTGGGAATGCACACACGGGTGTGGGGATGCAAATTTGGACAAATCGATTTTTTAAAAATCCTGTTGCATTTTTCTTTTGGTGATATAATTTTTAGTCTCAAGCTTCCAGATGTTGCGGTGCTGTCATGGTAGAGGCAGTTTTCGGGAGGTGGCTAGATGCAAGGGCAAAATCCGGGGAATACCATGGAGCAGAGATTTGTTCCCCATTTTCCTCTTGAAATGAGGCTTAGGGATTCCCTTTCATGGTGCCGTGCCATGACTTTGGTCTCTAGTGCACTTTAAATGTCAATCACGTTGCAATCAATTAATGAATGTATTATGGTCAGAAGCGCTATTGATTGATCTGTGTTCCTAAGTAAAGACTTAAAATATGCATTCTCTCCCTGTATGTGAAGCTATTTCCTGTGGGAAAAAGCTTGCTTTTATAACAAAGCAGGTTATGTACATTGCTTGGTTTGCACATCATATCTGAAATCTTCTTAAGGCTTGTTGTATGTGTTTAGTTAAGGGACGCCATTATCTCTGCTAAACGTTCTTAACTGATGTAGCTGTGGCTAAAACATTGTAATGGTTGCTTTAATCTATTACAAGAAGTACAAATGACAAGAAAACAAGCCAGCCAACAGTCCTTTCAGTACAAGGCAGCCCTAGTGTAAAAGAAATGTAAAAGGTTGGAAGACAAAATATAATGACTAATTAGAGTGTGTAATTTTCACAATTTTCATGGCTTCTCTCGCATAATGAGTATAATTCAGGACCCATGGCCTGCTTTTCTTACCTGTGGCAATATTCCAAGATTGGCCCCAAATTAGACACTTTTTAATAAAATGAGCAGTGGTTATATAAATTACTAGGAGAGGGAGATATTAAGGAAAGAGCCTAATGGAGATAATCTTTTGCACTCTTTCTCTCCAGTTCATTTATATGAACATCATTTTTAATGTAACAGTTGCATTATTACATGCAAAAAATGTACCTTTTCCCATCTGCTATGGATGTAGAACCATGAGGTTTGAAATGAATGGTGGAGGTATACCAGTGGTTCCCAGTCTGTGGTCCATGGACCATAAATGGTCTGCAAGAACTTCAGTATGGTATGCAGCTTCACCGTTACTACTACTACTACTGCTACTAGTAATAATAATAATAATCATCATCACAACAACAACACAGCCCAACCAAACAAAAAAATTCTTGGTGTCTTTTTTTTTAGGCCTGTTTCTGGGGCTATTTTGGGTGCTGATTCAGAAAATTGCATTGGATAGACCACATCAGTTCTGAATTATTAAATATGGTTTTCTGTGGGTATGCAGATGGCGATTACTGGATGGCATATGCTCTGTATCAGAAACTAGAGTTGATGTGGTCTATCCAATGCAATATTCTGAGTAAGCACCCCAAATAATAATAATAATAATAATAATAATAATAATAATATCAATAATAACAACAACTTTTTTTGTACCCCACCACCATCTTTCCAAAGAGACTTGGACCAACTTACATACGGGACAGAAAATCCAACAGACATAAAAGCAAACAGCGAACAATCCATTAAAACAAAACCATCACTAAAATAAAATAAGAACATCATGAAATACAACAATCTATATAAGCACAATAAACATATGAGAAAAAAAACAGTAGCATTTAGGTTCCATCAGACCATGTTCAACAAGAATCAATGACCATAATGGCATGAGATAGTACAAAACAACGTATTATAGGGCCAAACCTATCTGGTGTGGTGGAGGCTCCTTCTTTGGAGGCTTTTAAACAGAGGCTGGATGGCCATCTGTCAGGGGTGCTTTGAATGCAATATCCCTGCTTCTTGGCCGGGGGTTGGACTGGATGGCCCATGAGGTCTCTTCCAATTCTATGATTCTATGATTCTAAACCGAATCTAAAGTTGACCAAAAACTGATTTGTAATCCTTATGGTACTAATGTTGGAGAGTGGTCCCTGGTCAAGTGATTCCTGGTCAAAAAAAGGTTGGGAACCACTTTGGTAGACCATCAAAGTGTGCCAAAAAAAGAATAGATTACAATAATCTATCTGTGTTTTTTTTAATCAAATGAGGGGGTAATCTTCTTTGAACTCTATGATATCTGATGTTGACATAGGCTAGCAGTTAAATGGTATAATTAAGCATTCCGTAAAGTAATAAATATAAATAATTGAAAAAAGTAATAATTATAGATTTGTAAAACTAGAAACAGTATATTTCCAAATACACACATATCTAGCACAAGTTGAGTATCCCTAATCCATAATGCTTGGGACCAGAAGTGTTTTTGGATTTTATGTGTTAGAATGCCTGTATTTGCCTATGTGTACATAATGAGATGAGACTCAAATCTAAAAATTAATTAATTAATGTTTCATACAAAACGTGAATTGTGTGAAATTACTTTCAAGCCATGTGTATTATACATAATCTGAAAGTAATTTCCCACAATATTTGTAATAGTTTGGTACATATAAACAAATTTGTGGTATTGAGCTATCTGAAGGCGTAGTCATCAGTGTCTCAACCACCCATATGTACAATGTTGGAATTTTGGAGAAGGGATGCTCAACATGTAGTCTAGTTTCCAAAGCAGATCACAAACATCATCTTGATCATTACAACATTATGTAAGATAAATTAGTATTTCTGTGCTAATATTACAGCTATGAGATAGCAATTTCAATCAAGTCATATGGTTGGATTTGAAACTTGGACCATCTTAGGCACCATCACACTACACTTCTTACTTAATTAGTGAAGTATTTCAAGTAGTTATGATTCAGTGACTCAGCTTAGTGCAATCCAGCATGCATAGGTCAGTCCCACTGAAATGAGTGGGATAATTGTGTAGAACAGCTGGTGGATAGTAATAATACTAAATTTCAGATTCCCACTATATTTTAAATACGAATCTTGAAGCATTTAGTGATTCATGTTTACAATGATCTTATGACAAATTACATCCAGAGGTGCCCTAAAATTATAAGTGCAGGATTTTCACTTTGTAATAAAAGTCTGATTTTAACTTTTTAGTGTTCTTAAATTTCTAAGACATGTATCTGTTCAAAAGAGAGAGAGAGGTAAAAAAACTAGATATTACACATCTTTTTTGGAGAAAAATCAAACATAGATGTCCACTCAACAGGGAAAATACAGAAATGTTGTTCATTAATTTTATTTACATTTAATCAAAGCATCTTCCTGATTACTGTAGCTGTTATCAGTTTAGGATGGTTTAGGTATATAGCTGTATTGGGGGTGTGTGCATATAGTCAGTCCTTTCTCATACTGATCTTGAATATTCTGTTTTAAGGGGAAAAACTCATCTTTCTCCACCAATATATTTATGATATCTTGTACAGAAGTCTATAATGCTGCTGAAATACTTTAAACATTTCATGGATGGCTTTACCACACACATATTCATGTTCTTGCAGGCATTTTTTTTTTATTAAACTAATCATTCGGAGTTTGGATTTATGAGTTGAATATATTTACAACATAGATGTGGATTCATTTCTATGAATGCCTGTTCTGGTGGTTGTGTTTAGTGATATGTCTCAATATTATGTGCAGGGAACTACAGCCTTATTCTCTGAGGAGGTGCAGAATGTTGTACTATCTGGCCTAATTAATATTTTCTGATAATGCTCTATGTTAGAACTGATAATATTTTTTTCATATTAAGAGGGTCTTTAAAAAATCCCCAACAATACAGCATAAAGGTTCTTACATTTCATTTTCTCTGCTTATAGAGTTTCACTTGATTGCTGCTCTAAAAGCAATTCTAGTATTATTTTATTTTTGTAATATGTAAATATCCAAAAAAAATGTGCCATACATGATTATTCAGTTTATGTACAGCCAGACCCACTCTGATTAGTATGACATATTTCCAAGAAAGTGCTCTTAGCAGTGCAGTCTGTAGTAAGAA